TCAACTGTTCATGTCGAATTCTCTGTTTTTCTGTCTCAATGTCACATTTGTGTTGTTCAATGCTCCGATTCCCCTTTTCTCTCAGGTGATAGAGCTCTTTGTCCTTTTTACACCAAAGATGCCACAGTTGGCCCTGGAGGGGTAGTAAGTTTTCTTTCACCTGAGATATGTTCGTTTCTTTCAGAAGGGCCATTAGGATCTCTGTCTTTTCTTTGGCATCCTTGCACTCTCTCTGGTCTTCATCAATAAAGAATCCTTGCTTGCGAGCAATGTGGGAACAGTCCTCTATGCTCAGAACAGTGTCTGAGAGCTCTAGCAAACGTGTGATTGTAGTAGCGAGCTCCTCTGTTAATTCTGCCTCATTTCTGTTCCTGATCCCAATGAATGCTTTCTGTTTAGAGGTATTGGCCATGGTTTTTTCTTTGTCATCAAGCAAACAGATCAGAGGCCTTGATGACTGACTCAATTCACGGACAATTTTTCGGTTTTCTTTATTGTCATCTGAAGTTGACATGAGGACAACAATGAGAGAAGAGACCTCCTTCAGGAAGGGGAGTTGCTTCGCATGTTCCTTTGCATCTCCGTGAAGATTGGTGAAGGTCAAGCAGGTGTCAAATCTTTCCTCATCTTCCCCCCCGGGACAGAACCAGCAGACTTCCACCACACCCCCCATCAAGAGACAGTCTTTGCTGCTCCCCATGCAATTTCTGTGAAAAAAGATATCATGTTTACGTTTACTGAGGAGACAGTTCATGATCTGAGATTTGGAAGCAGAGAAGCCATTTCCAACTCTAATAAAGGACACAATGGGGGTAGAGACACAACACATCTGCTTATTCTTGTAATTGTTCTTCTCGTCTTTTGGTGATTTCCTGGTTTCCTGCCAGCTTCTTCTAATTTGACGGAGAGACCAGAGAGAGAATTTAATTTCAGAACTGCAGGGATTAGGTATGAGAAAGGGGAGGGCAAACTGACAAATGGCAAGTTTGGCCAAAATATATTGTCTGGCAAAATCGTCTGCACAGTGAAGAATCGCCATCTGAATATCCATCGGATGAATATGGGGCCTAGGATTAGTGGCTGAAGGATTAGTGTGAGCAACAGGGTCTTCAAACAAGTCTTCATATGGATCAAAAGCCTCATTTTCGTCGTTCAAGGCATTTGGATAAGCTTGATTCTGTGTGTTTCCATCATCTCTGAAGACCAGGTATCTCAGCCCATAATCCAGCATCAGTAGCTTCTGCAGGAAATAGAAGGGAAGCTCCCGTTCAGAACTTGGCTGGCTCTTGTACACAGAAGCCTTGTAGATCAGATGGAAGTTAGCTCTGCTCATTCTTTTTGGGTAGTAATGTTCTAGGCCTAGACGCTGGAGTAATTCTTGAAAGCCTCCATCTTCTATGACTTCCCGTTTTCTATTTTCATTATCATGTGGTTCATGGGGCTGTTTCTTTTCATGGAAGATATTTTGCAATTTTTTTCTCACCTCCTCCATTTGCAGTGAAGAAATGGTGGCTTCATAACTACCATCAATGAGCAATCTCAAGTCTTTCTCTAGGTTTTCCCAATCATGATCTGCTCCAGGTTTGGTGAGGACATGTACAACTTCTTTAGAAAAAGATTGGCCCATGTGGTGTCTTATTAATGCCAAGCGCTGTGTTTTCTCCTCTAGAGACACAGCTGTGACTCCAACAGTAGCTGTGAGACCTATGAGTACCAGGAATGCCTGAGCCCTGTAGGTGCAAATAGTTTTGAGCTCTTGGTATTTATCTTGGGCAGTTTGCATTTCATTCAGTAGGAAGTCTATCTGCTCACACCCCAGGAGATACTGAAAAGTATTTTTTCCCACATGATATCCTGTACCAGCTGCAATGGTAAGTAGCAAGAGCTGTGTGTCTCGCTGCTCTGTTTCTTGTAGGTAATTCAAGAAGCAGCCAAGGGACAAGCTCACCTTATAAGTGGCCTTTCTTTGAGCTTCCTCCACTGTTTCTGCAGACTCAGATTTGGCCTTCACTTCCCTGAGGTCATTCTGGGTTTCCTTTAAGATTTTAATTAATTCAGAAAACTCAGTGATGTTCCTGTGCTCTTGCTCTGACTCTGACAGGTAGATCCACTGCATGATGGAATGAGCCTGAGGAAAGTTTTTCACTGTGTAGATGTGAGGATCCAAAAGGCTGCGCAACTGAGATTTAATAAATTTGGTTTTATAAGTGGAAGACTCTTTGCAAAATTTAACAGTGTTTATCAGAAAATTCTGCAGACCCCAATCCGTGAGGCATATGTTAACCCAAGTATCATAACTTTTAGTTTTTTGACTCAACATTTGCATGAAATTTATCAGCTTTTGAAGCTGCTCTTCTGGATCAGATACCTCCCAGGATTTCACATCTTCTAGGAAAACCCTAGCCTCCTTCCCAGCACCCAATAATTCTTCTCCATCTTGGATCTGTGCAGTGAGGCCAGTCAGAGCAATGTAGCTGTCTTTCAGCAAGTAAGCTACCTGAAGAGGATCCTTGAAATCCCTTCTGTGACTGGAAAAGATTATGTCCCAAATGGGCACCAGCTGAAGTCCCCGGTCAATGACACACCAGGTTTGGTTGCTGGCAACTAGGCCAACTTTCCAGTGGAAAAAGCCATTTGCTTCTGGTGGGCCACCTGTGTGGGCCACAGATAGTTGAACTTTGGTTTGGAGGTTTTGGCATGTTGTGCTCTGGGAGGATGTGTTTGAATGAGAGCCTGACACATCCACACCTGCAGCTACTTTCACTCCAAACCCACTGTAGCTGCCCCTTATGTAACTATTCAGGGACTCTGCTGACTGCTGTTTCACCTCTGCCAGCTGCTCACTTGGGAAACCCTCTGAAATGGCTTTCCACCAGTAGATTCCTCCCAGGTGCAGAGGGCCTTGATTAGCATGAGAGCCAAACCTGTGAAAGAAAGCTTCAGCCCTGTGTCTTAGCAAGAGGAGTCTGTCTGGGCCTGCAGGCTGAGCCAGGAGTTCTTCAATGCATTTCAATTCCTGGAGAGCAGCCTTGGAGAGCTGGAGCTGATCAATGGGAAAGTGGCAGGAGGCAAGTGGGACATAACTGAACTTGGTAGAACAGAAATAAGTGTGATCAGAGTGTGAGTGATTAGTTTCCTTGGATTCTGAATGTTTGCTGTGATCCGTACCAGTTTCCAAGCTAAATCCCCAACCTCTACCCTTGGCTGAAGCAGTTACGCTGAAGCCCAGCTTCTCTATTGCCTGGGTGAACATAGATTCTGCTTGAGAAGATGTAAATTCCTTTGTTTCCATTCGTGTGCCCTGCTCAGGGCCATAGAGCAAGAACTCCTTCGGGACACAGATTAGCTCCTGTCTCTTCTCTACAAGGTCCCGTTGGTAGCTGGTTTTGTAAATTCCTTGCAGGGCCAGCCCTCCAGATGCCCATCTCACCAGATCTATATCTGGGATGTTTTGCCTGTGAGACAGTGTCCCCTCCATGAGGTTGAGTTGTCTCTGCACATTTTCCATGATTTCTCTTAGGGGCTTTTGAGGGGTTGGCCGGTATTCCTTGGGGATCTCCATCGCCTGCCTGAGCTCTGCCTCTTTTTTCCTCTCTGCCTCTTCTTGTTGTTGTCTGCATTCTGACAGCAAATTTTTTAGCTCCTGCAGCACCTGCTCTGCCTTCTCTTGCTGTTTCTTTATCATTTCCACCTGAGATTCCTGGAACTCTGAAAAGTTATTTGAGTGTGACAGGTGAAGCAGCTTCTCCAGGGCCCTTTTCTCCCAGGGATACTGTGCCTGGGATTTCAGCTGCTGGAGGTCTTTGTCTTCTAGGTGTTGTAAGGCCTGGACACTGGTCACACCCAGATGTTCCTGCAGCTTGGGCAACCAGTACTCAACTGCCAGTCCTACTTCTCTCAGCATCTCTTTGAGATCCTGCCTTTTTTTGCCTCTGAGAAGGGGTTCATCATCGGTGGACTTTGCTGTGTCCATGGCTGTGGAAAGAAAAGATACTCAGTTAGCCTGTGTCATGCTCTAAAGGAATGTCAGCCATGTGGCCACAGGGTCAGTATACTAAAAATGCAAGTCTTTAAGGCTTTCTAATCCCCTCCTTTCATTATTCCAATAAATACATTTTAACACTGTTTTAAAAAGTGTGTGTGTGTGTGTGTGTGTGTTTGTGTGTGCTTGTGTGTGTAAGACATCTTTCTAGGTGTTCTGATTATGTACTGCCATTCTAGTTGCCAGGGTGAATTGAAACTTAAAAGCCTGGCTTTTGACACTTCCTATTACACAGAATCAATTGCATGGAGAGCATTATGCTGAGAATTGGCTTTTGAAAATATATATGGTTTGATAACTTGATGTTTATTTTAAAATCAGAGTGGGACCACCAATTATCATTCCTCATTTTTCTCTCAAACCTGTGTGAATAGTGTTCTTCTGTCTGTAACTCCTTCTTAGGACCTTTTGTGTTATTTATTTACTTTCCTATCCTTTAAAATATACTTCTAGATGTTAGCATCATGGTGTCAGATCTTCTTCCTTTTTGTCCCACTTGTTTTTTCTTTTTTTTTTAAGATTTATTGGGGAACTGGGAGAGGGGAACAGCACTGGGGAATTGGGGGAAGGAAACAGACAAGCTGCTCTGTTTTGTTCTTCAGTCTAGTTGTGGAGGATATTGCTTCACTGGCCCAAGCTGGCACCATCATTGCACTCTTCCCGGGCGAGGAAGATCAGTCGCAGGCTTCTGGATGACCGCTCACGCTGGCTGCTGGCTACACACAGTAGCTCATGGCAACCCACTGCAGCAACGAACTGCAGCCTACGTCGTTGTTGGTGACCCACGACAGCCCAGCTCCAGGTTAAGCTGTTTTTCAGCATCTTAGCTATAGAGGGCAGTGTCACTGGCCCTTATATGTGGAATGCGAACCGGGGCCCTCTGGTGTCCCAAGCCAGCTCTTAAACAATACACCACTCGGCTGGCCCTTGCCCCACTGTTAAAACAGCTAATAAGGCCCATATCCAGAAACAAAAGTTCCCCTGTGGGAATTGTTGAATGTAGCAGCGTATGCCAAATTATGTGAAAGGAGTCTCACCCACATGTATCTGGTAATAAGAACAAGACCTCAGAATGGGCTGTGGAAGCAGCAGAGCCAGCAAACCTGTGCCCGCCATCTGGCAATTGTCAGAAAAAAACCTTCAGAGTGCTGACCTGGGCAGATGTCCACAGATGAGAGAGAATTTGCAGACGTCCAGTCTCCCCAAGGAGAGTGTCCAGCATGAGTTTGTTGGCATTGCATAGGCTAAACTATCTGGTGGTGATGATCTTACCAGTGGCGGAAACAGAAAGTGATGAGTCAGTGCCTAGCTATCCCAGTTGTGTCAGACATGGGTCGAAATACACATTACTTTCCAGCATCATCCAGAGTATTGGACATGACCTCCATGACTGGGGGAGGGAAGAGATGGGAAAGAGGCAGATAAGAATATCCAAGGGCATTAAAGGAACTAGGTTCCTCCTGATCCTGCTCAGGACTTTCACAGGAAGGCCTCCCATGTCCCGCTGAGAAAACCTCACCTGAAAAACTCCCCACTCAGTCTTCAGGCACCCCCAAAACCCCGAGGGCAGAACACATAACTCTACCCACCTTGTGGCTTGCTTCTTGTGTATGCTCCTGAGTCAGCAATGAGAGCAAGTATGGTAAATATACTGCTATCAGAAAAGCACACTAGGGTCTGAGTGCAGGGGGGAAACCACACACTTGAGCTATGTTGCTACCTTCTAGAAAACAAAAGAGAAGTTTCCAGTAGCCAGACTGATGAATTGTAAAAACTGGAGAAAACATAAGAGCTTAAGAACCCTGCCACAGTAGAAAGCAAGAAGAATGGAGCAGGCGTACCCATACAAAGGCATATAAAGCACAGATATAATAGCACCAATAAACAGAATAGCCCATCTGAAGTCAACTAGTAAAGATTTAAGGAGGTGTCTGGTACTTCAAATGCAGAAGCAACAATGCTATTCTACAAGGTCATGAAAAATCAAGGAAACATGTCATCACCAAAAGATAATAATTCTCCAATAACCCAGCTTAAAGACATGAAATTTGGTTAACTGACAATAAATTCAAGATACCTATTTTGAAGAAAATCAACAAGAAACAGGAGAACTCAGAAAGACAATTTCATAAAATCATGGAAAAAATATAAGAGCAAAATGAGGTATTCACAAAGAAATAGAAATCATTCTGGATTTGAGAAATGTAATGAATGAGATGGAAAATGCGATAGCATCCGTAGTAGAGTAGGCCAAATGGAAGATAGAGTAAGTGAGTTAGATGGCAGGAAGTTTCAAACAACCTAGTTAGAGGAGAATAAAAAATGGAAAAAAGCAAAGAAAGCCTCCATAATATATGGGATTCCATAAAAAGAACAACAATTAGAATAATCAGGATTCCACCAGGAAAAGAGGGAGAGAAGGGAGCAGAAAGTTTATTTAAAAAAATAATAGCTGTGGACTTCCCAATTCTGGGGAGAGAATTAGTCCACAAAGCTTATAGATTGCCCTATTATCTCAATACAAAAAGACCGTTTCCAAGACGCCTTATAATGATGCAGTGAAAAATCACAGACAGAGTCCTAAAACCAGACAGGGAGAAGAAAAGATTATAACGTACAAAGAAACCCCCTTTAGACTATGAGTGGATTTCTCAGCAGAAACCCTACAGGCCCAGAGAGAGTGGGATGACATATTCAAAGTGTTGAAAGGAAAAGAAATTGCCAATCAAGAATACTCTGGCTAAGTTATCCTTCAGATATGGAGGAGAAATAAAGACTTGCCCAGACTAAGAAAAGCTGAGGAAGTTCATCATCACTAGACCTGCCTTGCAAGACATGCTTAATAGAGTTCTTTAAGCTGAAGTGAAAAGAGCTAATCAGCAACATGAAAACATATCCAATTATACAACACGCTGGTAAAGGTAAATATTTAGAAAGCTAATTTTATAATAGGATGGTATGTTAACCACTTAACTATAGTATAAAGGTTAAATGAAGAAACATATGAAAAATAACTATAGACTACTATAATAGTTAATAAATACACGAGGGGCCTGCCAAGTGGCTCAGTTGGTTAAGAGTTCAAATTAAGAGTGTGAGCTCTGAGGAACAGGGCCACCGGTTCGCTTCCCACAGGGGCCAGTGACACTGTGTCTGAGCTGAGCTGCCGCTGAGCTGCCAACAGGTGGCAGGATGGCTCAGCTGGTGAGAGCAAGAAGACTGCCTGTTCGATGGTAGGCTACGTCCACCAGCAACTAAGACTGAACTCAGAACCTTGAGCTGAGCTGCCACCCAGATGGCTCAGTGGATAGAGCATGTGCTCTTAACAGCAAGGCTGCTGGTTCGACTCCTGTATGAGACGGTGGCTACACACACCCGCAATTAAGACTCTAACACAGCACCTTGAGCTTAGAGTCAATGAGCTGCTGACGGGCAACCAGATGGGTGATTGGCGCCCTCCACAGCTAAGACTGAAGAACAACAACTTGGCTGGTGCCCCTCCCCAATTCCCCAACACTGTTCCCCTCCCCCAGTTCCCTCCCTGATAAATAAAATTAAATAAATAAATACATAAATGATGTATGAAGGGTTATATTATGACATTAATAATACAAAAGGTGTGGAATAAAATGGGGGGGGGCTTTTATCAAAGTTAAGTTGCTCTTAGCTTAAAGTTAACTCTTTTATCCATGAGGTGTTTTATTTTAGCTTCATGATAACCACAAAGCAAAATAATAGGAACAACTCTATGCCAACAAATGGGACAACCTGGAAGTAATGGATAAATTCCTTGAAACGTATAATCTTCTAGGACTGAATCAGAAAGAAACAGAAAATGTGAACAAACTGATCAGTACGAAGGAAACGGAATCAGAAATCAAAAAACTCCTAGCAAACAAAAGTCCTGGACTGATGGCTTCATAGATGAATTATATGCAACATTCAAAGAAGGATTAATACCTATTCTTCTTAAACTATTGAAGTGGAAGGAAAGGTCCTGAACTCATTTTACAAGGTCAGCATTACCTGGATACCAGATAAAGACATTACGAAAAAAAAGGAGAAAATTATAGGCCAATATCCCTGATGATCTTCAACAGAATAATGGTAAACTGATTTCAACAATATATTGAAAAGATCATACACATGGTCATGTAGGGTTTATTCCTGTGATGCAAGTTCATTCAAAATCTGCCAATGAATTAACATCCTATACCACATAAACAAAATACAAAATGAAAGATAAAAGTCATATGATCATATCAATAGATGCAGAAAAATATTTGGAAAATCCAATGTTCATTCATGATAAAATCTCTGAGCAAAGTGGGGATAGAGGAAACATACCTCAACATAATAAAGGCAAGTACAACAAACCCACAGCTAATATATTTAATGGGAAAAAGGTAAAAGTGTTCTTAAGATCAGGAACAAGACAAGGATGTCCAATTTCATTAGTTTTATTCAACATAGTACTGAAAGTCCTAGTCACAGTAAACAGTCAAGAAAAAAAATGTATCTGAATTGGAAAAGAGAGGTAAAACTGCCATTATTTGGAGATGACATGATCCTATATACACAGAACCCTCACAATACCACCAAAAAACTGTTAGAACTAATAAATGAATTCAGTAAACTAGCATGATACAAAATTAATATTCAGAAATTATTTGCATTTTTATACACTAATAATGAACTATCATAAAGAGAAATTAAGAAAACAATCCCATTTACAATTGCATCAAAAAGAATAAAATACCAAGAAATAAATTTAACCAAGGAGTTAAAAGAGCTATATTCAGAAAACTATGACACATTGAAAAGAAACTGAAGAAGATGCAAAAAAATAAAAGGCTATACCATGCCCATGGATAGAAAGAAGGAATATCGTTAAAATGTCCTTACTACCCTAAGCAATCTGTAGATTCAAT